AACTGGGTCGGTCGAAAACCCGTTTTTCTTGCGGAGCTGGTAGACGCGCTTCACCCACCGTTTCTGTAGGCTCGATTATGATGATGGTGATCTTGCAGCTCTTCCCTTTGTATCGGGCGGTTGCGAACAACGTTCGTACCTAGCAAAAAATTTATATATATATATATATATTAAACAAGAAAAAAAAAAAAACTTATTTCTTCGCGTTCACTTTGTTTTTGTCCTTCGCCACCAGTCCTCCAGTCTGCTTTTCGTTCTTCCGATTACTTTCCAGCTCCGTTCAATCGGCTTCGTGGACGCTGCGGCGCGCGTTTCAACCTCACTTCGAGGGATAGCAGCAGCATCTCTATCTAGAAACGCGTTCAGCGCTGACCCCGTCGCAGGTGATTGGAAGTCGAGTGCTTCCGCCAGCAATTGGGCTTGTGGAAGGGGCTGGCCAGGTGTCTGTCCGTTTTCAGGAGCGTAATACCACTGCACCGGATGGCTTGGTTGCAGGCTTGTGCATGAGAGGACGATGTGTTCGATGGTTTCATCCGCTTCTTCACAAGCCCGGCATGTTGTTGTTTCCACCATCCGATTATATTTCTGTTGGTACACTAGTGTTCTAGCCCTCCTGCACGTGCCTCAAAAAGCAAGCGGCTGCCCAGCCTGTTATCATATAACTGAGCCTCCGCTGATATTGTACTTTTGCTGAGGTTGTACATCAGTAGCGTTGACTTGCTCTTGGCCGCCTTTGCCCACTGAAGGGCCTCCTCCTCACGCACTCTCTTCCGCACCTCCGTTTCCCACTTTGTCTCTGTATTGGCCCTCACGGGCACTGTGAAGAAACCAAATTTTTTTTCCAGTTGGTACAGCCGCTTCCTCCATCTTGTCTGTATACTTGTAAGGTGGATGTATACGAAGAGTAGCTTTGCCCACCGATTTCGGTCCATGAATCGCAGCCGCCCGTTGTAGCCGATCTTGCTCGTGGCTTCTCTGGTTTCGAAGGATGACCACCCGAGGTCTCCTTGGACAGCCTCGTTGGCCACCATACCATGGCATCCTACGGCCTGCCTCCCGACGTCTCGCTGACGGCGCTCCAATATCTCCCGCACATCCCCGGGTACGCAGATAACAGCGTTGGCAAAAGTCAGTCCCGGTACTATGGCCGCTTTCCAAAGTTCTCGTGTAACAACAAACCGGTTGCAGCTCAAACTCGGCTCACGGCCGAGTTTTAGCGCCACCTAGGGAGAGGCGTTCTCACTAGGCGGCACAACAACTAGGTCCTCCAACGTCGTCGGGAGGTGGATCGGTGGCGTTAAAGACCCCGGGCCAGCGGTTGTACTGCACTGGCTAAATTTCTCATCTACAGCTGGGAGACTCGTCACCCGTTGAGGCAGACCAAGTTCTAGGCTGTATAAACATACACACAACCCAATTCGACTTCCTCGTCGGGCTCTTCTGTTATCCGTGGGTGTGAGCCAGCTGATCGTGCTTTCTGGTAGCAAGCGCGTTCAGGCTGTAAAATGTTTTCTCTATGTAAAGTATACTAAAAGAGTTAAATTTGTTCATTAGTTTGCTTTTTTTTTTTTTAGTTTGCGCAGCCAACACCGGATGGCATTGGGTGCGCCCGCTCGCCTTCTCACCAAGTGCAAAATGTAATGGTCGCGGAGGGCCATTATGAACGGGTGGAAAGAGAAATGAAAAGCTGCGATAAAGACAGCGCCCCGAAAGGACTGTAAAAATGCAGAAAAGGCTTACATTATCTGGCACGAGGGCCGCGAGGTGCCGAGGTGCGGGGCCCAAGGCGGGAACCCCGGCGAAAAAAAGAGACGTCACACCAGCTCGGAGTTTTCGTGAAACTCCGTGGGTCGTGCGGGAGCCCTGCGCGCACTGGTGTACAAACAATCATTCGACAATAATGTGCAGTCGACTGTATGCCGAGTATGCGAGGGTGAGAGCGAAACCGCGGAGCACATCATACTCAATTGTGGCGGATTTCGACCATCTGCCACTTCTCCCACCGAAGACGCGAACTGGCTACACGAAGGTGTCCCACCTCTAGCGACATCACTGGGCTTCTCGACAACAAGGGAGAAAGCCAATACTACTGAAGCCTTTTGAGAGACCATCGAGCAGACGAAAAGATGTCTGGAGGATCGGTGGCATCATACACAACGCAGGGGTCGCTGAACTCAACCACAGGCTGAAGTCCCTTCATGTTTCAAAAGTAGCGCCAAATATTGGTAGCGCAATGTTCGTCGATGCACAGGGCACGTGCAACGTGCAGCCGTGCTTTGAGCATTTCTAGAACAATGAATGGCGCCACTTTTCCTAGGATAGAGGGGCTTTACGGGAGCCAGAGTTGCGCGTTCATCCCCGTAGCGCCGCCTTTCCTGCACGGCAAGTTGATCCAGCTCGTCACGTGACTGAATTCGGCGACTAGCGGCGCCACGCGTTCGAGGCGCGCGGCGCGCTCAAAAGCAGGGGAGCGTACGGCGGGGCGCGCGCAACGTCTACTTGCCCTGCAGGGTACTCATACCCGTGCTATCCGTGCCACACGGGCAACTCAAATGCCATTTACAACGAATGACATTCGTGTGATCGACGAATCGGCTCGCGATCTGTCACGCGTGGAACGCCCCTCACTCGGAGTTTCGCACACTCCGAGCCGATCGTTCAAATTAGTGGCTCTAGTTCAAATGGCATTCGTTGTAAATGGCATTTGAGTTGCCCGTGTGGCACGGGTATTAATCCAGTTCCTCACGTGATCGGATCTCGGCGAATAGCGGCGCGGCGGCACGTGGAAAACAGACGCGCAACTCTGGCTCCCGTAGGGAGCCTCTACAGGAACTCTACTACAGGCTTGGGCACGATTAATCAAGCCCGCCCGTTATAAAGGGAGCAGCCGCAGAATCATCATCATCCTCATCATCGCCGCCAACACCATAGACGCAAATATAGCAAAACGGTTTGTTGGCCTAGTTGGTTAAACATTACGAAAATAAAAAGCGCGAAAGACAAGGACGAGAGGGATACTACACAGGACGAGCGCTTACTCGCAACTGACGTTTTAATAGACCCTTCCCGGAATTCAGTCTGGCAACATTGATCACTATCATCATCTGAAAAAATGGCATATGTGCTATACTAATGGCGGCCTTTTGTTTACTGAAGAAGGAAGAAGTTGAGGATGCTCCTAAGCAGATGATTCGAGGCCTATACATTCTTGACGTTAGCGCGACGTGAACCAGGAATTGGATGCAAGATTTGCGTAAGCATTCATTTCTAACTCTGGCCCAGTAAATCTGTCAGAGCACAAACTCAGCTTCAAAGCCCCTTGTTGCATAAAATTTTATCAAAGTGTCTATGTGGGCTGGCGCTTCGTTTTGACTGGTTTCATCTTTTTCGCCATCGACACTGAAAGAGATTGGGAACGAACTGTACAGTGAAGCGCGCATTCTCCTTTACTGTCGACTTGCGAAAGTGACGGTGCCCCATAAAATACTGCAGACCACCAGTTCATTGCCGCCATTGGAACGGTAAATGTTAAACTGACATTTCAGTCACCAGATGGCACTGAATTCCGGAAAGGGTCTATTCGGAACATGAGGAAGACGAAAACATTAAAAACCCTAAAGTTAAAAGTTAATTTTTTTTTTTTTTTATGAGAAACGAGCGAAAACATCTAGAAATACTGATAAATAAAAAAGGTAAAAGAGCAAATTATTATACACGAAAGGAAATGGTGGCCATGATTAAAGTAACAGTGAAAAAAAATTTAAAAAGAAAGAGAAAGAGGGAGGTAAGGCAAATTTAAGAAATTTTTAAGGAAATTATTTTATGTACTTTAATACTTTTGTGACAGTCACCGATGGAGCAATGATGCAAGCGTCTCCTTTGGTGCGTGCTGGAGTGCTTCCAGATGGAGTGGTCGTAAGTATAGGGTAGGTCGTGCTCACCACACGGCATTACGCACGCCCTATTCACCGCAACGGCCGCCTCCTAAATAGAGGCACTTCGAATGACGGGATGCAGGGATGCGAACCGCGGTGAGTGTAGGGGGGTAATGCTCATGGAAACAGCGTCTAAGACCAGTTACGTAACTGAGGTAATCTAAAAATGTTTCTTTGAAATAAGGTAAACCCAAGCAAATATTAAGATATTAGGGTTTTACAAGCTAAACTAAGGCAGGTCAAATTGCACGCCCGAGACGAAAAAAATCGCGGGTGTATTTTGATTAATTGGCGTGTAGTTATGCTGGCGTGCAACCGCAATCTCAGATTGGCCTCCGTAAGATTGCGGGCTCGTATTCAAAAACAAAATAGGGATTCACAAGCCAGGGCGTTGGCTCAAAGCCACTGAGGCGTTTTTGTGTTCTGTGCTTTTTTTTAATATCATTGACACTTAAAATTCACCGAGGTGGTTGTGAAACAAAATGTAGTCGAAGTATTCCGGCAAACAGTTCGATTGCGAGAATAATTTCTGGAATTGATACAAAACATTTAATTGCTTTTGCATACTTGGAAAAATCCCAACTGGCGGAATCCCTTTCATGGTGCCCATTTCATTTGGATTGCGTCAAGCGTCAGGCATGTATATCGACGAAGAGTGGAACTCTCGCGAAAGCAGCTGGGGCGCACGCGCAACCTCGCGCTTGTGGTTCTGACATATCTGGCTCGCTCACTGCGGACATCCAGGCTACAGTGAACTAGAGGAGGGGTATTCACTGCTGTGAAGCAGCGGGCGTGGAGAGGTCAAGAACGTACGAAGCAGCGCTGCAGTACCACGGGCTGGAGGATCCAAGCGTTCGGAAGGCCTTCGGCGAGCAGGTTTGTCTTGGCGGTTTGGCACTGCGAACTGGTTCCCGTTCAGATCGTTCAGATCGTCAGCGCTTGTGTGTCCTGCATGTTCCTTTTCTCTGTCCTTGTCTTTGTGTGCGCTGTTCTGTTCATCATGTCATCATACCAACTCGCCCAACTTACTACACTTCAGATCGTTTTCTCGGATTTTCGTCGATTATGTCGATTGAAGTACAATGCCGAATCGCCTACCACGACAACGACGACGACGAAGACGACAATGACGACGCCAATAGTACAGCAAATGCTATGCGAAGCATGCGCTAACAGCCCATAGATTGGTGGCGCCCTCACGTGCCGACGACAAGATGTGAGGCAGCCGTGAGCGCTCGTTGAGCTCACTTCTCCTCTAGTTCAGTTTATCCAGGCATCTGACACCTTAACAGCTGGCGCGTTTTCTGTATTTCACGTAACGTTACAAGCGGCACACGACTGCAAATGCGCATCAAGCTATTCTTGAACACGCGTAGCCATCTGTGTTTTATATTAGGAAACTGACACTTGCCATAACTGAGTGGGAAATGCTTGAGGACTAATAATATTCCTCAAGTGTAAGATATCGATATTGAAGTTCTCGAGAATCTAATATCGAAGGATGATTCGTAATTTATTTTCTCCTTTTTTTGATTAGTGGACATGATTCCGTATTTAAACAAGATAAAATAATACCATTTAATACAGTATTTTATCTTCTTAATTTACATTCTCTGTACGGTTCATTGCTTATTTTGTGGTTCATTATATTCAACCAACCGTTTACGTAAATTATTTGGACGATATGATATTATAACTCGAAAATTGATTTCTTTTTTAAATATTAGAGGCTGTGATCTGTTAGAAGTTGAATAATAAACTAACAGCTAAAAAATAATTTAAAAACGGAGAACTTAAATTATCTTTGAAAAACAGTTCTTTAATCAGACATCTTTATAACTGTATGATACACAGAATAAAATTATAAACCGGCAAAATGGATCAAAACATCATGCACGGCGAGTTGTGCGCCTTAAGAAGATCTTTGCGTTTTTGTTTTTTTATGTCCTTACTAAGGACAGGGTAATGGTGACACTCATGTCAAGTGAAGCTATGCATTTATGATCGCATTTTTGGTGCCCAGTAAAAACGTGGACAGAGTAATTCAAATCGAAAAGTGCGTGTTCCGTGCCTAGCTTCAATGATTCAATACTTTCAAAGCGGTCGTGGAAGAATATTCGGGTGGGAATGTTCCTCACTTTACTCAACCTTATACGGAGAGCAAGTCGTCTGCTTCTTGCGCAGGAGTTGCGGTGACGTCAGAACAGCACCGAGCACTGACTGGCTTTGACTGAAAGGAGAGTGGATGTATTTCAATGCAAGATGCCTTGAGGTCTACCTACTATGTTTGTCAATCAGCCAATAAGAGCTTGGAGTTCCGACATCATTGTAAACAAGAAGCAGAAGAAGGTGCACTCCGCTTTGACGCTAGTGGGACCCAAATATACACGCACGCAACGACACTGACCAAGAAGCTTCATTGTTGGCTGATGATTTCAATGATAAACGAGGACGTCGTTTTAGTCTCTCGATTGGGCAAAAATTTGACGAAATTGCGGGGGTCGCATTGTTGGCGTTGTCAATATTGCAATCTCTTGGATTTTGTCATCAAGATTTGGGAACCCCGGGGCGAAGATATTAAAACAAGAAACAAACATTGGGGTGTGTACGTTTATACAGCCTTAGTCTGCCTCAGTGGGCTCCTTATCGCCCAGCTGTAGGTGAGAAATTTATACTTCGTTTCAGCTTGAGTCCAGACGCAGCCTATGCTACAACGGCGAGCATGTGAACCTGAAGAGTGCTTGCATTGCACGAGCACGTGTGCTTAATGGGGACGCTGAAAGCCAGGAGCTCGCTCTTGTAGTTCCGCTACGCTCACAATTCAAGTAAAACGGAGTAGGGCCAGTGCAGTACAACCGCCAGCCTGGGAACTTTAACGTGCACCACGCAGTAATGATACACGACCGCACGCCGGTACGATGCTCATCCAGATCGAAACAGGCCGGGGTGGGGATTGTACCCAGGATCCTGGGTTCTGCAGCTTTCATTCCACCTGCTCCGTGCTCGTGTGCGCTAGCCTACTCGGCCACCGATCCCCTCGAAAATATTTAAATGCGACACACTTAGTGGTTATGAGTACCGTGTGAGCATTCGATTTGGCCTCGGGAGAATCAACGCCTCGGCATGCATTCGGGTAGTGACTCGTGCTCATACCGCCGCGATGACCGAAATAGCCCGACACTTCAAAATGTGCGGAAATCAGATAGTAACCTCTGCTTCACCAATTCCAGAGCGTAGCTGTGATAAACATTGGCGGCTCACAATTGGCTCTAGATCACGGGCCACTTGTAAAAGCTAATTGTTTTCCTTGCTTTATTTTCAAGTAAAAAAAAAAAGTAAAATGTGGTTTTATTTGTAAACAAAACGTTAGATAGTTACACTTATTCAGACGGGGGTCCCAAAGTTAAAAACAAAAAAAAAACTGTCGAAGGGTGCTCTTCAACAGATCGAACTTCCACTGTGCGAGGAGAAAAAAAGAAACGAAACTGCGCTTCATGGGTTGTGGGTACCGAGGGGTTCACTGAGAGGACATATCTTTGAATCACCCCTGTAAGCAAAAATACTTTTGCGATGATCTTAACTTGCACTACGAAGGCTATGAATGACACCGCGCAATTCGATTCGCTCGATTTTACAGTCGTCGACATCTTGAGGAATAAACGCAGGTCATGGTGAGTCCCGGGCTTCATATTGTGGCTCCGCTGCCGATGCGTTTGCGGCATCAGTGCCGAACGACAAATGACGAAGAAAGAAACGGAGCACAAGAAGCCATACCCTTCGTTTCTTAACCTGTCGGGGACTGTACGGCGAGCAAGCATTCTAAAAAACGCCTTTGGCGAATTGAAAGAAAAAAGGATGTGCGATTACCGGGTAGCCAAGCTCGCGCCTTCATTGCTCGAGACATAGCCTCCTCTATCGGCGACGTGCACGATCGAAAGCGTCGCTGTCCGAATGCTGACTATTACGTCGGCAAAGGATTTCTCATCGAGAGAAATAAAAGGAATGTAGAACCTTCAATTTCGACGGTGTTGGCAGTGTTGGTTTCAGAGCGCTACGATTTCAAGCTTCCACCATGCTCATTACAAACACCATCGAACTCGTTGTTCGCAAGTGAATGACGTCACGAGAGGTATCCATACGAGGGCGCCACCAAGACATCTCGCCGCTAATACTGCGAAGCCTGGGAGATCGCCAAGAGATGCGGCCACCGAAATGGAAAAGGTGGAGCGGTAAACAACGAATGAGAGGACAGCCACGTGAATGGTGCTCCGCTGCGGCGAGACGCCGAAACATACATGTCCCGAATGAACAAGGGTCTTTGGGGTCCTTGCCGCTGCAAAAGCTGTGCGCTGACGTCCGGTCTTCGGGCACATCGCATTTTTGGGGTTTTTGACCGGGCCGACACCCGGTAGCTCACAAAACCGGAGCTCCGCGAGGCGTTGAGCCAGTTCAGCTAGTTGTTCCGAGCTTCCTCTTTTGCCAGGATCCTGGCATTGTTTGCAGCGGTTTGGTGTATCGTGTTCCGCAAAAAAGTTAACTCAGAGACGTTTCATAGAGTTCATGCAATCGAGTCTACAACAACTTCCAATGTATAGTGGTAAAATTCCAGGGTGCCGAAGCGATCTTCAGAGCTTCAAATGTAAGCGAGCTGGGAAAATGGGCTGTTCGCGTTTTATTTCAAAACAACAAACGTAGCCTCAATAAAAAAAAATAAAATAACCTTTGCAGGGTTGTAAATTTGGTACCTCTTGTGTGAGTGATCCCTCGCTATTTATTGTTCGGTCTCCACTTATCAAGGTCTCTCTGACACTACCATCTAACCACAGTTATTGAAGCATTTCCCAAAGACATATTCGTAATGGAAATCGGCATATCAGTGGGATGCCCGCTTTGGGAAATAAGTAAGCAAATCCAAGGGTACTGGACCTGTTGAATAATTCTAACATTTATTGTGAAATGCTTAATATTCTAAAATTTCCTTCGTCTCATCATCCAGATTTTTGAAAGAAAGAAAAAAAAAACTAGTAATCACGCAAAATTGATTAACGCAAGAACAAACTTCGTGTCATTTCTATAGGTTGGCTAGCTTGAATATTTGGGCAGTCCTAAAACATTTAGGTGTGATATGTAACCCTGAGGAACAATTTTATTTGCGTTAAGTTAATTCCTATTGCTTATTCGATATGCGTGAATTGATTTAAAAAAAAAAAAAAACTAAATTATAATGTGAACGGTGCTTTTTGTGCATAAAAGCAAAAACCATACTCGGCATTAACTATATAACGCTACGTTGTCTACGCTAGCGTAGCTTCTGCAATGGACCAACTTTGTCAAAGCTACTTGCGTAAGCGCTTGGCTTCGTTTGGCACATCTCCTCGGCGTGTGCGGAAAAGATTCAAGTCGAAGCCACGTGCTTTCCCAGCAGTGCGGTGCTGCAGCCTTGTGTAATATGTGCTAGCTTTGACAATGTAGCACAAAATATTGGCGCGTGATGTAACTAGAGTTTGAGTCAGGTATGCCATATATAACGGAAATATTTTTTCACCCCTACTAATTTGTTAAAAAAAAACGTTTTTTTTTTTTTTTTTTTTTTAGAACGACTTGTGCTGCATCCTTATTCTCGGGTCCAACGCCCAGATATGCAACTACTTAAGCAGGGAACACATGAGTGACAAAAGGGGCGCCGCGCGACAGTTTCCATGGCATCTTGTGCGCACACTCTGACGTGGCGGCTTGGCCTAGTTTCACGTCACAGCGTCCTGGGCTGTTGCTATGGGAATCACCGCGCGGCGGCCGCTTTTGCCGCTCATTTGTTCCCTGCTTTAGTCTTTGTCCAGTTGTTGATACCGTACGACTAAGCCTACTCCTCTAGCTCTTGCACTGCTATTGACATCACTCACTTATGTTATAGTGGTCAACACCGCTGGACCCGCTGAGACGGAAAAAATGCTCTATGAAGGGGCTGGTGGCAGTCACTTTGACGGTCGGCCTCCTGACACGTAAGTGCGTCGGTAAAACAACGGAGGCTTTAAAAGTATGACGCATTGTCGACGTACTCATTAGGGGTGTGCGAATAGTGATTTTTGAAACCGAATCAAATACGATTTGAAAAATTGTGGCACCGAATCGAATATGAATACGAATCGAATAATTTTCTAATAGTTTTCAAATAGTAAGCAAATGAGCTACTAAAGAAAAGCAAGGAGAATATAAAATATTTTTTATTGTTCCAAAATGTTTATTAAATTATTGTAAAAACGCGACTAGACGATAAGGGCTGGAGTTCAACAATATATAAATAAATAGAGAAAAAAGCTATTCAAATATTAGACTGCTAAACTTAATATCACGGTTCACGCGGATGCTGAACATAAAGTCACAGTTCGCTTGAGTCCGGTACATTCTGAAGCATTGTACTTAGTGGGAACTTTACATTTTCTTTTTATTCCTTGTTGTATCAGATGTCCTTGAATCGAGGATGAAGGAAGGTGGCAAGGGCGTGATGTGTATGTGTGCTTACGTCCATGAACCTTGTTTTCACTGATCTGAGGAGATTCTGGGAAAACGCATTGTCTTGTTCCACTTTCGCCATCAAAAAGCAACATCTTCATACACTCAAAGAGTGGAACAACCATGGAAAGTGTTGGGAAAGACTCGTCGCAAGCAGCTGTTGTGGCTTCTTCAATTGGTTGCATGGGAGCGGCCGAAAAACTTTCACACTCTACTGCACTTTCTCTTCGAACAACTTCCCGCTTCTTCCATTTTTCTTTCGCTCATAGAGAGTGGCGGTACCGCCGCTCTCTCCACGACACGCTTTCCAAAAGCGTGCGCGAGCAGTCTCGCGCGAAAGCGGTCCCTAAAGGATGAACCGTATGTAGGCGATTTAGTGAGCGACGATCGAGCGACAGCGACGAGAGTCAGCTGCAAGCGACGGAGATTTTTCACTGCCGCTCGACGCGTCGCTCTGTGTTTGGATTTCTGGGAAACGTCCTCATCGCCTTGGTCGCTTGCTCACGCTACTTTCATGCCGCTTGCCTCATCGCGCGAATGACCGAGCGACAGCGAAGCGAGTCAACGTCGCCTGTCTCGTCTCTCGGCAAATCGATAACCTGCGGGCTATGCTTAACACGGTGGTCCCTAATGGAGGCAACGGTAACGTACGTATAGAGAGAAACTGCTGTTGCCGATGACGATAATCATTGCCTAGGAAAGAGGGTATGTATTTCCATCTGGCGGGCACGTATGGCAGGCGTGCGGGCGCGTTGTGGGACGCCTGTGAAGGGAATCTCGCGTCGCGACACCGTAACGACTATTCGAAAATTATTCGAAAATATTCGAAACTTTTGAAAATGATTATTCGATTTGATTAACAAATCGAAAAGGGTAATATTCGATTCGTTATTCGAAAACGGCGAATATTCGCACACCCCTAGTACTCAGGCAATGCGAAAAATATCGAAATTCCCGAGAAAACTTTTTTTTTTTTTTAATTTTTAACCGCCCTCAACGTGGGCGCAAAAGGCATATAAATGTCACTTGCTAAACACATTGTTAATATGGTCATAGCTCCTTGCTATTTCGCGGTGTAAGAGAAAAATGCAAATTCTGCGACGAAAGGGCTGGTTCTATTCAGCTAAAATGATTGCGGTGTATATGAAAGTTCACTTTGCACAGCTCATAATTAGAAAATGCAGGACATCTCTATCGAACAAAAATCGAAGTCGCTGACGATTTTTGTCAGCGACTTCGATTTTGTAGCAAAAATATGCACAGTCATGTTTTTTTTTTTTTTTTTTTTTTTTTTTTATAAAAGGGGTAGTGCAAGTTATGCTCCCATGGCAGGATGTGTGTTAGATCGAGGTTTCTTGTTAGAAGCTAAGATCTGCATTCCTGACTGATTTCTCTTTTCCACGTTCCCTATGTCGCTCCTTAAAACTTCCTTGTTTTATTTTCTCTTGCACATTGATTTCATTCACATTTTATGTGATATTCCTCTCTAGAAGTAAAGTACTAAACAAATATATGTAAAATATATATATATATATACATATATATATATATATATATATATATATATATATATATATATATATATATATATATATATATATATATATATATATATATATATATATATATATATATATATATATATATATATATATATATATATATTGCGGTACAGTCAAATGCTAGAAGCTTTTTTCGTGTGACCAAACGTATTAACTATAAGTGGGTTTGAAGGGCACAGAACTCAGTAGTGACTTGATTTTGCAATAACTTTTGAAGGAAGAAATAAGAAACTAGACAACCATAGTTAACTGATTTTTACCACGAATAGGTTTTCTGCATTACTATGTCATTTTACTTATATCGTCATCAGCAGATGGTTGCCCTCTCCTGGCCGTCTGTCATTCTCTTTGTCAGACTAGTGACCCAAGAGTGTATGTGGTAGATCCCCATTCCCATCATTCCCGGGTTAACCTTTGGTGCCTATGGTTCTCGAACATGGCCAAATATCAGCCATCCACAAATCGTTCATAAAATAATACACTTTTTTTATAAAATTTTTTTTCCGACATCTGACGGCGTCCCTACACCTGATGGCATCACTTCAGAATTATGTTCAGACTGTTCATGACGTTGCGATTTAATTACAAGCAAATATTTTCCCGCTTCGAGTTTATTTATTATTTTAAGTTGATTTATATAATGTTAACCCAATTAGCTGTAAGATATGGATGAAAAAAAAAACACTTCGGAACATTAACAGATTGTTTCAGTACAGTGGACAAAAAAAAAAAAACTTTTAGATCCTTTAGATTAAGCTTTTAAGTATATATTTAAAGTGCGGCCATCAGGTATTCTTTGCTCAAGCTGCACTTCGTAGCTCGAACTGAGATATTTCGGGTCCTCTGTTTAGGGCCACAATGGGCTGCTATATATTACATTTATTTCTAAATACTTAACGTATGTGTAATAATTTGTAATGAACACGTTGCTCTCTCAGTAAAGGCACTTTTGTTTTATTATCTTTTCAGTGATTACGACAGGAGTCACCTATCCTTCGAGAAACGTGATATGTGCGTGCCAATCTGGTGAGCTGGAATCCTATTCACCTCCTCTCTGAACTTCTTTTTATCCAGTATTAAAAATAAATTCAATTGAAATTATTTTTTTTTGGCATCAAGGGCTTCCCATCAGATGATGCGTTACATGAGGTGAATTATAAATCACATAAAAGAATAATATCATACCACAGTAAAAAAAAATAATACAAAAAGTAAACCAGGATTTTAGTCGATTAAGGTACGGTCAGTAAAGTGGAAATAACAAAAGTGACAAAAGTGCTAACTGAAACCAAAAACTACTTAGCCAAGTCTCGTTACAATAATTAAGTAAAATACAAGTAAGGGCTAGCAGCTATATGATTGTTTATATTGGTGTTTAAATGAAGTGCCATTTAGATTGGTTACGATATGGTCAGGTATCTTGTTCAAGACATTGATGGAATGTGCTGAAGGTAAAAAAATAAACAAACGTGTTATTGCTGAATTGAAATGGTTTTATTGTGCATTGGTTATCTAACCTGGGTGATGTGAAATTAAGGCTGTGGTACCATGGCGGTAATCTTGAAGAAGTTATTAGTTGAACCACATAGGGCGGCGTTGCCTGTCCGTGTGAACGAATGGTGTGGAACGCCGCGAGCCAATTTCGAGCTATCCTTTTTTGGCACTTTTACCTTGAGTTTTATTCTCCGCTATTACGCACCTCCTCTCATTCGTTCGTCTGCAAGCGCGACTCGCGTACGTTCATTATTGAGAGCATGGTTGAGAGCACAATGTCCCGGATAATCCTCAAATTGTGCCCTAGAAGAGACACCCTGCGCTTCCTTCCCTCACCACTCTCTCTGCTTGCACGCACTCCCCATTGGTAATTATTCTTTTTTTTTTGTTTTATCGCGATAGATTTATAGTTTTTTGAGACTACTGAAAATTTAGTATTTTCTTTGAACCTGCTCATCGTAGTGCAGTATTACATTCTGACAAAAAATTGTGCTATGGTTTGCCACATAAGACGGAGTGGCTACAGTCTTTTCTTTTTTTTTTTTTTTTGTCTAGAGTGCAAGAATGATTTCCCTTTGGTTCAAAAGGGCCGAAAGAATGGTAGGGTCGGAAGAACAAATTGTTTAAGTACCCGAATTATGATAAAACACAGCAGTGAGAAAAATAACGCAAATGCAAAAAGAAATCACCTAGGCAGAATAAAAATGAAAGTCTACAGTCTTATTTCGCGTGTTATGCCAGAACGATTTCCCTCGGCTCCAAGAAAGTAAAACAAAAAAAAAAGTAGGATCGGAAGAAAAACAACGATTTCAGCAACCGAATTATGATGAAACACGCCTGTAAGGAAAACTACACAAATGTAAAAGACATACTTGGAAATATTGGAACGATAGTGTAGACCATTCCAGTATTTCCAAGTCCTCAACCGAGCGTGCGATGTACTGAACCCAGCACGGGCATGCCCATTCAGGAAGTGAGCAAATTATGCGCCATACGAACGAACACTAAGAACGGAACCGGCTAGGAGCCATTTGTTTTGGAAAGGTCTATAAACTGAAGTGATTGGTGTGGTGCAAGGCAGTAAATAGCCAGGCGCAAGGAAATCTTTTTTTCCCCTTTTTTAAAGGGGAGGGGGGTTGCTTTAGGTTAGCCGGAGTACGCGCTCCAGTGCGAGCTCCTTTGCTCCAATGGGACATGAGTGCACGCAGAGCAAAGCGATAAAACCAGGAGCGACCGCGTGCTCGACAGCCTGTTTTTCCAGCGAATTTTATGTTGCAAAAGTGATATTGGCACTTTTTTTTAATTTTACATATGTTAGGTTTTGGGTTCGGACATGACATCGAACGCCGTTTGATCGAAAGCAGTTTCGTCGAAAACCGTTCTATCAAATCCATTTCATCGAAAGCCAATTCAGATAATGCCGTTTCATTGAATACCCTTCTCTTGTAGGACGAGAGCATCCCACTCTTATGAATAATTCGTAATCACTGCGAAAACGTGCCCATTGTAGAAAACAGAATTTTTTTGTCTATCGGGAAGAAAGTGAGGTAATGCACAAATTATTCTAATATTTTTTATTCATAATTGAATATTTCTGTTATTCACATGGCTGCTAAAATTGGGAACACTCCTGACACCCTTTTGAACTTAGGTACTGTTTACAGAACCCGCTCATGAGTCAGTGACGTGTCTCTGTGCCGCATCAAACAGCCTAGAGTCAAAAAGATGTGTCGCTCGAGTTGTTTTGAGTTCGTAATCCACAGAACTGTGCCCCGCCTGCTGCTCGACCTTATTTAGTGCAAACGAAGGCCTTCTTCTGGGATAGACCAAAACACGATATAACAGACAACTAAAAAAAATGCAGATGTTGCGGCGCAGCCTCACCAGAAAGAATATCTTCACGCGGAAACAAATAAACACGATTAATTAAACAAAGCGCGTGATGAATCATCACGCAGTTAATGAATCTAACTGAAATTTGTAGTAATTAATAGTAAATCGATGTCTAGGAAATAGCGAGTGAATATCCTTCCGCGAAGTCAGTTCTTGTATGGCAAATATCTGATATAGTAAAAATAAATGTGAAGAAAAGGCATCGTCACTTCCGATGCACAGTCTTCTTCTCTACGAATGTCAAATTCGTAACATAGCACTCCAATAGTAGACCCTGCCCCGATGTACTAATAGCATCTTCGATCAACTCGCACCGGAATCGCCCTGAAACCAGCACAATGCACAGCGCTCCTCGGTCGTGCAGCGCGATGTCGGTGCAACATCGAGGACAAACTGCGCCGCGCCGGTGCACCGCGGCGAGCTCCACCGCTCCACCAGCTCCACCTTGCGTCACTTCGCGTTTTGTTCGTTTATTTTGCGTAGGTCAGCGCACGGTGCCCGTCTGCTGTCAATTTCTTCTATCTCTTTACTCGCGGATTTGACGGTCCCACAGAAATAAACATCGTGGACGTGATTGTCGATGGGGTCACGAAGCGGGAGACAATTCCACATGTATATGTTGGCCGTCATTATTAGTTCCAAGAAAACGAAACACCAGATAATAGCCGTACCTCGCTGTCATCGAAACGCCTCGCGCCGCTTTCCACGAAGTTCGTGCTTTGCGGGCGTTCCTTGCCACCGCAGCAATCGCCAGTAATCGCGGCGATGGTGAGAAGCTCGTCGTCTCGCCGTCAGAAGACCCAAGCAAATCATCTAGTGCAGCTGCGAGGCGTGTTCGTTTTTGCAAGATCGCCATCTCGATAGTGTGCACGTCTGCTACTCCCGCCATCTTCTCGATTCCCGCTCCTGGCCGCAATGCCTGATGGGACTGCCCCCCGGCGCACCGCCGATTTTCTTGGTGCGCGTTGGGGCAACGAAAAGCCGCACCGGGAGGGTGCGCTTCGTTGATCGAGTTTGTCCGGTGCGCACCGGTGCACTTGATCGAAGATAAAGGGGCGCACCTCAGTGCCCCGGTGCGCACCGGTGCGGATGATCGAGGATGCTATAAGAAACCATGTTCTGCCGAAAACGTACATTATCACAGGCGCTTAGTGTGTTAGCTTTAAGTATTAGAGAAAAATATCTTATACCGAAAGGAAAATAAGCTCGTACTGTATAGAATGATATACCACATAGTTTTAGGGAGTGCGAACATGACACAACCGCGTTTCATAGATATATAAAATGTGTCATATTTCATGGCCGCCGTGGTACCGCGGCCTTCTGTGTAAAAACTCTATCTGGTTATTTGTTTATGTTCTTCTAAAATATGAAAGTTTATTTTAGCTTGTATAGCGTAGATACTAGCTTTGGGTGTGTAATTATTGCACATGAAGCGACCTGCTTTGTTCTGACCCGATTTTAGAATAAAAATTAAATAATTTTTACTTCGGTTTCAAATAGTGCTTGCGCAGTCTATTGGGTGACGTTTAATACTTTGTACACGACGAGTTTTGTTTCGAAGAGAGCAAAATATACGTTTCCTCTTAGGAAACAGAGTGTTTTTAGCGCTTTATAAGTTATTTGTTGTATGTACTCGTTCAATGTTAGTGTGTCTGTCAAATGAATGCCAATCTACTCTATAATGATGCTAGTTCCAGTTGTGATAGTACTGTGTACTTTGCATCTGTTTTGAGCGAGGATTGAGTTGCATTTTCTTGTGTTAATAAGGGAGCACAATGAAGATATAGCATCCCGACCGTATGTTTTGATCATTGTGTGCAGCGATTTTCCTGTAAATATCGCAGTCATCTACGAAAAGTCTCATTACGGCTTATGTAACAGAAAAAAGGTCACTTATATAGGTTACAAATAGTAAAGGCCTGAGGACACTCCCCTGGGTGACACCGGATGCAACAGTAGTCAAACGTAATGTTGTTTTATTTATTTTTACTGTTTCCATACTGTGTATGTAAAAAGAAGATATCCAATTTAAAACTCATGGAGAGATTTGTAGTTCAGAGAGTTTATAAAGAATGTGAGGTTGTGGAACCGTGTCAAATTTTTTGGCAAAATCAATAAAGACGATATCAGTTTGAGCTGTAAGGTGAGTATTAAAATGGAGGTCTGTTACGAATTCGGAGCAGTTGAGTACTACAAAAGCGAACTTTTAAATGTGCATGTTGGTTAGCAGACAAGATTTTGCAGGCTTAAGATGGGATATGATATGAGCATACAAAACATGCTCTTTGAGTTTGCATGACACACTGGTGAGCGAGATCTGCGGAAAGTTTGTGAGATCGGAATGGTCATATCTTTTGAAAGGGGGTGTTACTTAGGCATATGGCCAATCAACTGAGACCTAGCCCCAATTAAGGATTCTTAAAACATTTTATTAAGAATATTGTATGCAAAATAAGATTTTAAGTATTTTAGCACCAATTTTTTCTTCAGCATGTGCACTGTTTGCAAGGGAAGTTTTCAATAGTTCTAGGTATGCTATTGCAAAGAAACAAATTGGATAGCAAGGTGGCTAATATTTCGAATGAGATGACTGAGCAACAATACGGCTCATCAATGTGTAACTCAACTGCTTCTTTTTCATTCCACTTTTATTTTCATTATACAATGAATCGATCGCAGTACCCGCTAAAAGGATATTTTTAAGCGAGATTAAAATCCAAGAGCATTTTGTTTCACTTGAACAGATATAACCCACTTGGACGTTCCACATTCTCTTTCTTTACGTGTTTCCAGTTCACTATTTTCAATGGTTTATTTAAGTCAACCAAGCTTACTTCCACTGAAATTGTTTATACCAAATAAAAATTACTAAAACATACATGCGAGCACATCCAAGAACTGTTTGTTTTCTATTTATCCAACACCAATCTACCGTACTCAGGTTCGGGGGTTATAGGACTGTGACGAATACTAAGTTAGCATAGACAATAAAAACTACAATATTTTTGGAAGGCTTGCTTGAAAGAGAAAGCGCCGAAACATACGCTGACTTTGGATACAGGTACAATTTAAACCACGCGTATTAAACTTTGCATCGAGAAATGCTATCCTTCATACCACTTTATATATCCTATCGCCGCTTAAGCTGCGACACGCTGGAGAGAATCAAACCACGCCAAAGCTAGGTCGTCACGGGGCTTAGCATATTTTTGGGGTTTAGTGGCACAGACTAATTCAACCACGCGCAGTAATTAAACCACTGTGGCTCTGCGTTTTGTTTCTATTGTCCGTGATTTGTTTAGCCATAGCCTCCTCTATACTCACAAAGCCTGGCAGTTCGACGATACAGTGATAAAGTGCCCGGTCACAGAATTGGAGCGCGAAGATCTGGTAACACAGAGCATCAAAGAGCCATTTCTCGGTAAACCAGGACGCCAGCGCACAGCTCTTGCAGCGGCGAGGTCCTGAAACACACTTGTTCGCTCGGGAGAAGCGTGTTTTGGCGTCTCGCCGCAGCGGCGCACCAATCACGTGGCTCTTCTCTCTTCCGTTGTCTGCCGCTCCCCCTTTTCCATTTCGGCGGCCGCTTCTCGTGGCGATCTGCCATGCTTTCTCAGCATATAGGAGGCTAGGGTTTAGACAATGCTAGCAAACCCACAAAAAACTGCTAACATGACGATGCCCTTTTGGCGCTGCTTTTTTGGCTGCATCGAAATGTGTGGACAGCGATCAGACTAAAGGCTCTTTTATACTCCGACATTGAGGGCATTGAACGCAGCGTAGCGCAGAACACGCGTGTTTCATTGGCCGGCTAGCAGTAACTCGACATGTGCGACAAATCAGTGTCTCTGTCCGCAGCGCTACTCGGCGTTTGCTACGTTCTATGTTCGGGTGTAACAGAGCCTTTAGTGTGACACGGAGTATGTTCGCAATTCCAACGCCCTATTGATGGCGGGGTGGTAGTTCCAAGATGGCGGAAGAGACGGGGATAAATTCGCCAGGATTTCCCGTGAGCCCTCTCGCTGACGCTGGTCAGTAGGCTGAAAACATTGTATTTTTCTGCAGATGCAAAGCGGACAGGGAAGTATCATATAACAGGCGACGGGAATGTTGATGCCTGCACGTTAGAAAACGAACATGTTGATATGTAAAACTTGCGAAATCCTCAACTTGCAAAGCTTTGTGGAGGCCGAGCGGGGTTCGCGCACCGGCCACGTCACTGTGTGTTCAAAAAGTATTTTTAGAGTAATGAAAATATCGGAGTTTTTGCGCTTTGCCTGGTCATCAGTGCTCTAGATTCTAGAAAGTCAGCAGCGCATTGTGAACGCCAAGCTTCGGAAGAGCAGCGTTCACAGTAGTGATGTCTTCTTTTCACAGGCTCCCATCTCGCTGCTCATCCATCGCGGTTTAAGTGCAGAATTGCAACCGTACGTTTCAACATTGCAACCGGAAGCTCGTGCTGCGCCTTTGAAGCGCAATTTCCAGCATGCGCCAGGAGCGTTTCCGTGCTCACGTTAGCCATGCGGTAACGCTATGCTAAGACTGCTGGTTAACGTCATTGGCGTATTTAGGTTTTTTTTTTTATTTCTCTATTAAAAACAAATATTTAAATATAGCGTGCATTTGTGTACCATGTTATTGGCAACGTTGCGACCCGCCTCGCCAAAAACTGTCGTTCTAAGCTCTTGTCTCGAACGGCTGGCTAACACAGACGTGCTTAAAATGCTTCAAATATTCCTTTATTCCCCTTGGAACATATGCTTGGAACATGTGATCATATTGACGACGCGAGATTTATTTTAAATTCTTTGCGCAGTCTATGACGTCACTGAATTGTCATACATTTTTCCACCTCAACAAGATGGTCATACACTGGTTTTCCCGTAAAATAAAGTTTTTGGCACGCGTGTCCTGACAAGCCTCTTTAAAAAATCATATCTTTGTTTTCAGGGCGCTTTAAAACGCGAACTCATTACATATGCCTACAACTCGACATATGGTTTTGCTTCAGGTTTATTTCTACTTAGGGTAAAGAATAGACTCTTCGTAGGCCGTACGTCACAGCTCAACATTAGTAGCCGGAGAGTTTTCCGTTACATTGAGCACGAATTGAGCTGGCGTCCACAAGACGAGAAATCCGCAGCGCAGGCGAAATACGAAAAGTTTCTAATAAATTTAGACATCCAGGTGCCTTTGTGCAGCGCTGTTTCGAAGCGGAACACAAGAATTCATATTTTAACGCGCTTGCTTTTTTCGTTGAAAGTGCTCCGCGCACAAACACACCGACCAGACCCATGCGGTAATAGCAGCACTAAGGCGCAAAGGCCGACTATCCCTGCCACCGCCTCAGCGCCGCTGTCCCCGCTCCTCTGGCTTTTCGTGCGTCCGCGAGAGGGCGAGCGGCGGACTAGAGTTGCCAATAGCGACATAGCTCTCCTTCCTTTGTGAGCACCCCTCTCTCCTTCTTACCTACTTTGTTGAATATATTTCTAACAATCTCATTGTGCCTAACTACTTTAGCTTTCGGGGTCGATTTACGAGTTCCCTCTTCTGGAATGTATCAAAGGAAGAGAGTGACATAAAAAAGAGGGAAGGAGTACTCAGCAGTGTGCTTTTCAATATGAAGGAACAGAACAAGCTCCTGGGTATAGGAGGGCGGAGTAGAGGGAAGGCGCCGTTGAGGAAGCGGGCATAAGTTGAAACTAAAACCTGCGCCTCTGGATTCACAACCTTTCACCTTCTGGTTCCTCTTCGCAGGAGAAAACGCCATTTTAACCGACAGAGACCTGTACGAACTCACCAAGTCTGGTAGGAATTTCTTCTTCCTCGAGACTGCTGGCTCGACCTGCCTAAACAGTCGACAGTCGTGCAGCATTGAATCCGCCGCGCGACAGAACCCTGAATTCACCATATTCTTGCTTACCCTTTGGGGTACACGGCGCTGCAGGTACGCATTCATGTTTGCGTCTTACTGTTCGTACTTTGTTCGTGTCCGGGTAAATTATTGAATGTTTCGGTAGATAGGGCCAATAATAAAAACTAGATCGAAACTATAAATCGGTGAGTACTTCTCACTGGCCCAGGCCACGAAATGATGTCATTGTCAAGATGTATGATGGAAAACAGCTCATTCAAATATATGACACTCAGCAGCTGCAATGGACCTTTTTCGAGAAGTCTGTTGCTCACAGGCAAGCCCTGCTCAGGCAGAGGTGGAAGCTAAAGCTACAGTTGAAGTCCAAAAGGGGAGTTCCGCGCCTTTCTTGCCGCCTCCGCGTGACGAGTCGGCGAAGAGGCAGGAAAGGAAGCGCAACCACCCGTCAGGTCGCCAACCGTAGTTCCAGCTTTCGCCACTTTGTGTGATATATATGTCAAAATGGTTCATTCAAAAGGTTCGCCGTTTATACCTCGGAATGGAAGGAGATGCGCGATTTCGTTTTGGATGCCATGAGATAATCGACGTCGAAATGAGGCGATTTGGAGCAGTCGCCTAGCGACCGAGCCACTAAGTCGAGTCTGAAAAGTGACGCGTCGAGCTTACTTAGATCGGGCATTCCAGCATTTTGGTACGAGGTTCACGGAAGCGCTACCAGGAGCCCCTTCCTAGCAATCGTCATGACAAAGTGACGCCACTCTTAAATTCTTCTTTAGAGACGAGAGTTCTCGCGCTTTTTCTGTGTCAATTTAAGCATTAAAAATAACCAGTTAAGGGGGGGTATCTGAAGATAAATTTACTTGCGCAAAATGTCTAGCGTCTGAGGATGACTACCTCCTAAACTAAAAGTGCATTCAAATTTATACAACCATTATTTAAAAGTAAATTTAAAATTTCTATTTAATTTGCTAACCAATAATGCTGGGCATTACACCATATAACACCCACGTTTTTTTTTCATTCACTGAACCAAAAATATGCATCGTGTCTTTAATTTTAAAAACTCCAATGCATGTAACAGTACAAAACTTAGCTGGCTGTACGGAATCTGGCATGATGATGAATATAGAAAAAACGCGATAGAAATAAGGAAGCTTGTGCGAATAAAAGGGTAGATTACGTACCTTTTACGTCCGGGGACCGGTACTCAAAGGGGAATCTGATGCCCGTCCCACCGCGCGGCCGACGGCTACCAGCGAGGGCGGTCGCCGCGCCGGGTTCAGCCAACGCCATGCCAACAACGATGATCCCGGTATCCAACAGCGTTTATTGAGTACCAGGGGTCCCTAACAAGATACTGGTGTCAAGAGAGCCGTGAACACAGTGTACCCGCAGCGCCCGCCGATCTGAGAGTCAAAGGGGTATTTGCGAGCGGAGTCATCGCCGATTGGCCGAGCTCACGCCGCTACCGGTCGTTGCAGGAGTTCTGAGCCAGGGCTCTCGGCAGACGGACGTCCACTAGGGGGAGGGGACGCCGACTCTTAGAGCCAGGGAAATCGCTAGCATCGAATCATCGCCGGTCGGACGAGCTCGTACGCCGCGACTCGACCCGTCGCCCGGTGTCCGATCCAGGACTCCTCGACCACACGGCCGTCCACTCGGAGGGCAGGCCCGACGCTCTCCCGCGGGATCTTCCTGGTCCGCCCGAAACGGGAGACGCGCGAAGAAGTGCTAGAGAGTAGGTCAGCGTGGTGACGTACTCTCCCCGACACGATACGAAGCGACCGGGCTCGAAGCCGTCTCGGCTTCGCCCGTAACGTCCGCGGCTCACGCCTTCTCGGGGGAGGGAAACCAGTGGCTTCCACAAGCACTACGCCCACTGCGAATTCTGGGTTTGATCAGTTAGTACGTTTTCAGTGCTTTTTTACTATATAATGCGTAAGCATCTCTGTATACTTGTAAATACTTTGTGTTCAAAAGAACTTTCAGTTAATAAGGCAGTAAGTTGGTGAGTTGGTTGAACATCTTCAACAACGTTAAACATCTTATGTTAATAGTATCTACTTTTTTACTTCAGTGAAATAAATTACGACTGTCGCATCTCACCACATAACCCATCCAATCACAGTGTCAAATGTAAGAAATTGCTTGTACCACCTATGAATTGTACCTTCACCGAAGTGGACAATATATTGTACCACCTATGAATTGTACCTTCACCGAAGTGGACAATATATTTCTGCAAGGAATGTATAGCATAAAAATTCATTAAATGCAAAAAAAAAAAATATTTTTTTTTTAACTTACGTGCAAATTATTGCGGGAAATTAATTTTACAAGAGCGATGTATTATCCCGGGTTTACTGTGTCTTATTTGTATCTACCTGAAACCAGGTACTTAGACCATCTTAAGAGCCTGCGGAACTTCAGACTGGCCAGGATAGACGTCAACAGTCTCGTGAACGACACACCGCTCAACGGATGGTACCACAGTGACGCCTGGATTGTGAGTCCCTTCCGGACTAACCACTTCAGTGACGCATTGCGGCTTCTCGTGCTTTGGAAGTACGGTGGTGTCTACGCCGACTTGGACACGCTCGTTCTCAAGAGCGTGGCCAATCTGCAGAATAGTGTCTCCAGAGAACGCTTCCCTCTAATTGGAAACAGCATGATGTCCTTCCAGAAGGGGCATCCTTTCCTCCTTGCATGTCTTCAGGAATTTGCAATCAATTACAAGTAAGTGATCCCATTCTGTGTCGGTACTCGGTAGAACCACAATAGGCCGCCATTTTCTGGGGGTCCGGTTGACGTTCAAAGTTTGCTAGGGCTGTTTGATGCTCCCATACTGATGGCTGTTCCAAGTGTTCCCTTCGAACACAGGGTGACCACTCTAGTACTTTAAGTTTTGTTGCAAAGTTTCAATAGCTATCGTTTTCCGGTCACCGCTTACCCGCAGATCGAATGACGCTGCTATGCCTTGTCGAACCTGTCGAACTCCCCAAAAGCACCTAAATTAAGTACTGATTTTGACTGATACAATACTTTTTAGTATATGATTAGAGAAATGGGGTTTTAACATCAATTCATTTTTTGTTAACGACTCATTAACTTCGTGAGTATCGGCAACTTTGAAAGAAATATCGCTAGTGCTGATGCTTTTAGCAAGTCATGGCGGAAATGTAAAAAACAGACTATGCTAACTATCTTTGTGATTATGCCGATGTTGTATAACTTACTTCCTGGAATATTAGAACAGAGTGTACACGTATTTTCCATCGGGCGCATTCCAGCTAATTGTAATGGGGCTCGGTTAAAAAAATTAGGCTCGTTAGCAATTAAAATAGTGTCATCATTAACGAGTAAAACAAATGCGCATAGTCTCGCATAACACTTCGGTCATGTAACACAATATAAGTCCGATTATATTGGAAAATATTTCTTGATAACAAATTGAGTCAGAGCGCCAGACGAAATATGCTGGTATAGAACAATCAAATCTCCCTTACTTTGAATGTAAAAACTAGGCGGAAAAACACAACACTAAGATTTCCAACAGGCAACAGCTATGTTTTGCATGGGTGAATTTAGTGTAAAAAAATAATACAGATACTAGCGAACGCCAATGCATGTATCCAGAGTTTGTCACATATGTTAAGGTTAACGGTTTCTCATGCAGACTATGAAAGGAGAACTATTGGCTGCACACCAGAAATATCGGTATACGGAGTTATATTAAAACCTTGATTGTGTGTTCGTATTTATTTGTATGCAACGGATGCTTAGACTTCAATAAGGTATTTGATAAGGTTAATCATAGGAAGCTGTTAAAAAAATTATATTTCAGCAAGTGCTCAGGTTGTTCGGTGGATCGAGGCATTCTTGCCTTATCACCGGCACTTTGTAAGTATTTAAGGACTTAATTCTGAGGAATGTGATGTGAACTTTGGTGTTTTCAAACGATAGATCATGGGCATTTTCTGTTTTCAATTTTGTTTGAACGATCTCATAGAATATTCACCTGTCGCAGATAGATTTTGTGCTGACGACGGCATTATTTACACTGATCATGATCAACTTATGCTAAAAGAATATTCAACTAAGAGCAACAACTGGCTTCCTAAATAGAAAATGTCGTTCAACCAAGATAACACAGTATACATGACCGTGATGGTCATGCATACTGTGCTATCTTGGTTTAACGAAAGCTCAGAAAATCGGTGTTCACGTTGGAGTTGAGTGTGTTGAGCCGAGTATCAGAGTATAGGCGCCTTGCACTCACCCTAACTTCAAACCTAAGGTGAATATCAGACGTAATACTATACCTGGGAAAGCTAATAAGAAATAGGGTACAATAGACACTGGCTTAAATACGCTACGTCAGAAAGAAAAATCACGGTCTACAAGATGCTAATACGCCCAGCACTAAAATATGCCTGTGAAGTCTACGACTGATCGGGATGTTAAATATATAGTCTCAAATTTGGAGCGAGTGAAACATCGTGCGTTACGTTTCATTCAAACTTTTTCTTATCAAAGACTAGGCATGGCACAACATCTTTAAACAAAGCAAATTTACCCAACCTTCAGATAAAAGTGAAGCAGCGCTGACTGATTTTTTACAGCATGATTAATGACCTGTTTCTGTAATTAGAGGCTTGTGCCTATCTCAGGTACTATATTCACAAAACACTGTATCAATTATTTTTGGAAGTCATTCGGTAACCCACAAATACCTTTGCTCGTGACTATTGGCTAATCTTACTTGATTACATTTTTCAGTATCTCGTACTCATTCTCTCAAATACATTTTTCAATCTATAAAAAAAAATGCTCCCTAAAATATTTTTTTTACAGAAATATAAAAAAACTCACCTCAATACAAAGTTAAACTGATCGCAGACTTGAAGCGGAACTTACCGAAAATTCAGAGAGAACAAGCCAGGGCCAAAAGCGCATACTCAAAATGCCAACCAAAAAAAATAAAAAAATAGAAGGAAATGAAGAAGAAAAAAAAAAAAAAACACCCGTACGAAACTAATTTTTTAATGCTCAACTTTAGTACAGTAAGAACCGGCGATAGCCCAACCCTTTGAAGAGCATAACGATTGCACCATGGATAGAAGCAAGCTACGAGCAGGATGAGCTCTCAAACTGCGAGTAACAAGTCTTCCCAAAGTTGTACACCTTTTTTAGGGGGTTCCTGGAGCTTAGTATAAAAAATTGGAAAAAGATTGACAACCGCGAGAAAGACAGTAGTGCATACTTGTGTACATATGTGCCTTTATATTTTAAGTTTACCAGTTTTTGAATGCCGCGTTTGGGGTACCGGCACCGTACTTGAAGAAGGAGCGGCAAGATAAATCAGCCCTTCTTTTTATTCAGTCAATATTTTGTGTATAATATAAAATTTCTTTCATGTTAACTCCGTGTATAGTGATGCGCGGAGCTTAGTAAAACGTTGCGTTCAAGGTGTTCAGTATAAAACCCCCAGAAGATATGATCATTAGCTGAGTGATTAGAGGTAGAGTTAACCTATTTTTCCTCATTCGCCTAAAAATAACTTATCGTGTACCAGTGATGTATACTCCTTGTACTAGGGCTGCGTAAATTGGCACTACGAATTTACCTTGTGTACTTCTGTTGCTTGTGCATAAAGCATTCAAGTTTCACTGAAGTCAATGCAAATTACGCAATGCGAAGTACCTTTAAAAGTAATTGAAGTACATTTCAAAGTATTTCAGCTCTACTCAAGTTATTTTGCAGGGAAAGTGTATTGAGTAGTACCCTAAATATATTACGGAGCAGTTAAAACTTAAAAAGTAAACATTAGAAAGAAGTCTGTCTGGTTGGGGAAATAATTAGCAAAATATGACGACCAACTAAACCCTAAATAAGAGGCCCAACGTTTCGAAACCCGTTCGGCTTCTTCAGGGGCCACTATGGAGGAAAGGAGCCGTAATCTTTTTTTTCCTCTATGACGGAGGCGAATGTGCACGATCCCATCTTCTTACCCTTTGACCGTTTTTTCAAGGCGCATAGTCGAGCCCGTTCACATCCACAGATGGCATTGCGCCAAGAGACCTATTGATGTTTGTTGGCGTGGTCTGAATGTGCTAAGATTCAAGGAAGAGCCTCCGGCGAGGATTATTTTCGATGTCCAGGATGCGCGTGTTTAGAAAGTCAAAGCGGTGGTCATTTTTTTCCCAGTGTTCAGCAACCGCGCTGTGCTCTTGACCAAAGTTGCGCACATCAGCCTTCTCACTTCTGTTCAGTACCTTGTCCAACACTGGTTGTAGAAAAGCAAATTTATAGATAAAAAAGTGTGGCATTATAGTTCGTGGCAAACAGACCAGGTGTGTGAAATATAAGTTTTCTAAACATTGATTTAAATAATATCTATCTTTGAAGACAGCGCAAAAATGAAAAAAAAAAATACAACAAAACTTTCAGCGCACGTAGTGGCTGTGAAAGCCAGGAGGAATTTGCTACCCTGGCGTCAAACATTTTGATCAGTGGCACTTGAATTTGTCAACTGCTTTTTTTTGTTCACTTTTAATATTATGCAATGGATTTAGTGCATTAGTGTGAGCATTTTGCCAGGTTTTTTTTTTGCTTGTCGTATAACCGCTACTTCTATTTCAGTCCTGTGTAGGGCCGATAGTAATTAAAATTGATATAAAATGCGACAAAGTGCAATCAGGAAAAGAAAGAATGTAACATACGTAAAACACGGTGTCACTGTCGTGCATCTGTCTTCACACACCCGGGTCTCGGTAGCAATGATTAATATTTTCGTCTAGATTAGGGCACAATAAAAAAATTATAGTGGCGTGTTTTTTTTCCACAGCATTGAACCCTGAAGTAATACCACGTATACTCTAACTAATTGCGCGCATCGCTCTCAAAGCCACAGACGGAAGAAATGGAAAAGTAGTGTTTGGAAAACATTTTGAACGAGGGACTCATATTCGAAGGGGTGAAAAGCAGCGGAAGGATACACAAAAAAGAGTACGGGTAAGAGGGGAGTTTCACCCTCCCCTCTTCTGTAACTGCTTGATCTACCGTCTTGCCAATTTAATTTTGGTAGCGCTGACCAGAGTCAATGGTAGGTAATAAGATAGAGTATATAACACAAGGCCTGCCCTCCTGCCATCCTCCCAGACATCGTCAATAGTTTATCCACGTAAGGCCGCCTGGCGGACTTCAGCGTCGCCGCCAACGCGACTTGAGTCGCCGTCTGCTGGCGCCGTTGACGCCAGCAGACGGCATCACCAAGGCGCCGGCGTCTTCCGATTTCCGGCATACTTTCGTGTAGCTTCAGCATGCTTGCCTCTTGGGGGAGGGGAGGGGGTCGGAAACTTCCTGATAACGGCGTAATGTGCAAGTGTTGCCATCTATAGGTGGTACTGGCTCAAGCTCCCGTTTGCTATCCCTAACCCCATCGACTACACGCTGCCGTTTCATGACCCAGGCAGGAGCTCAGCCCAAATTCTGCTCTTGTGCAAGTAGCAAAAATGGCCTTCGCATCATATTCAATATGCCCTTCCCGAAGTTCTGTCTGATCTGTTTGATCGTTATAAGCAGCTGAGGTATGGCAACCGTGTCGCAGAAATGGCGGCCCTCTGACGAAGGCTGACAAATAAGTTAAAATTGCGGCCAAGGAAACAATGTGAGGCTTTTATATTCAAGTTATGAGCGTCAATTACGACATAATAAATAGGCACAAAATCTGCATAAACGTTCATTTCGGGCTCGAATTGAATTAACATGTTCCACACAATCGTCTCTAATGTCTTTTGGCGTTCACCATTTTATGAAGAGGTTTATTTGTTATGGGTCGCCCTACAGAATGTTTTTAGTTCTGTCCCCATGAAAACAAAAAGAATTTGAGAAAGAACTGCATAGTTAAGAACACATTCTTATCTGCAGTTCACTCTAAAAAGTGACGCTGCCCGATGGAATAAGACAAGTTTATCACCACCACACGTTAAACCGCTACTTTCAGTCACCAGATGACACTCATTTTTGGAAACGGTTTGTTTATTCGGCGTAACTATTTGAACGCGGTATAATCATATCGCTTACTAAAATAGCTCGTAAAGAAAATTATTTCGATTGCATTCCGGGGTTGTATAAGTGCCGGCATATCTGCGAGTGCTTTCGCGGGTGCATGGCGCAGAGTCGGCTGCTTATCAAATTGTTTATTGCTTAATTATTTGTTCACAAAATGCATGTTAATATCCATACTCATCTCAAGTTTCTGCTTATTATTACGCCATACAAAACTTACATAGACTATAATATATATATATATATATATTTTTTTTTTTTTTTTTTTTTTGTCATAGCTTCCGAGACATCCTTAGATTTTACTTTATTTCTCACCATCAACAGGCCGAGACGATGGGCTTACAACGGACCACGGCTGCTGGAACGAGTCCTGAAGACGTGGTGTCCCAAAGAGCCCGTGATGCAGCAGCCGTACGTCGACTGTGCTGACGTCAGCATCCTACCCGGCGAAGCTTTCTATCCAGTGTCCTACACGGAGTGGAAGCTTCCATTTCAAGCGTCGGAAGCGAGTCATGTCGCGATGCTGCTTTCCAACAGTTACGCCATTCACCTTTGGAATGCGCTTAGCAAAATCACAAGAATCGAAGAGGGGTCGGCCTACGACGTTCTTCAGAAAAATGCCTGCTCTACAACCTATGAACTCTCCCTTTCAAAATAATATTAATAAAGTGAAAGTGAAATCGATAACACATTCAGCTGCCATCGGCGCAGTTTAGCATCACACGTCCCGTGTCTTTAGTGCCATGAGCACGCTGTGTAACAGAAATGCACGCAGTCGTTTCTTGTGCCTCCACTTCTCAAAATACCTGAGCTTCCACCTTACAGCAGTGCACCATGCGGGTCAGTGACGATCAGCAATAATCTTGATTCCAAGATGCAGTCTGAGCAGGAACATTGCAGTCATTAAGCAAAACTCCCCACTCATTGTCCTGGCACAGATTAGAGTGTAATTATTTATTTACATATATTGTACAGCCCTTTTCGGGTGACTTAAGGACGGCGTAGAGCATAAGGATTCATATAAGCTCTTGTCCGCCGTCGTTATTCGAACATCTTCCTTCGTATATCCTATTGCATCCCATTGCCTTTACGTAAAGTGATCTTACAAGCATTCCTTTTTACATAAAACTATCTTCGGGACGTAACATAAAAAACCGTGTTAGGCCCCAGCATTGTGCTGATGGTTACTGTAATCTTAATATCCGCTGGACATAATCTAGGCAAATTTCGAGAAACTTCGGTCTTCCCAAATTTCACGGGGTTGATAAAACGCCGCCTATAAGATTATCATCCGAGTGGTGTTACCGCCAGCCTTGCACCTCTGGCACGATGGTTAATTTATCGCACAACCAAGATTCCTATGAGCTCCATATCTATAAAAAATTGACTGCTTTTGTCGTTTTCGATAATGCTTAGGATGTTTTTGTTTATTTTATACCATATTGTTTTTTTCAGTAACTAAAATATTTAGCAAATTGTAGTTTAATATACGACCTATGTTGACGAGTGGCCTCATATATTATGTCCCAATGGTTAACTTTCTTTTTTCAAATGCAAAAACTAAATACAGCCTTGCTTCAATTGGATGAATTACCTCTCGTGTCAGCTTTCTAGGTGCCCTGTTGCAAAAACTTTCGTAGTTGCATTTATGAACAAGAATGATAAATATATCCTATTTTAATTATAGAAAACGTACATTCGAGCTAGTGGAGTGTTATGGCTGTGGAAACTGGCGACAAATGAAGAAACACATAAATGTTAAAACAGATAAAAAAAGTCGTTATTTTTGTAGTCTTCGGTCTCGTGTTTCCAGAATAATAATTTGATTGCTTGTGCGAATGAAAGTAAACAATATGGACTTTTAATATATTTTTTAGAAATATATACAAACGGATGTTTTATACATTCCGCGTTGAAATTGGGAAGGTACCTCGAATAGACAGTTGGTGCGTCCAGGTAACATTTTGTCGTGTCACATCTTTGGCCACACATGGTTAGGATTAGATAACGAATGAATCTATTCAAGTAGTCATACAAAATCTTAAATAAAGGTGATAACAATATAATAAACGACTGAAGTGCCCGAGCAAAACCGAATGTACTTGTGAGGCACTTTTTGCTCCTAGCAACTAGTATACCGATATACCGTGTGTGTATGTGATTTTTAAACGCTTTTGCTGATTTTAGAAATTCCTTAGCTAGAGTGGCATGAATGAACCCTTAAGAAACCAAGTAAAATGTAACAACTGTTGCGTTCAGAGACACTTATGCACGAGATCCTGCCATCCTTCTACCTAGTGAATGTCAAGATTGGCAAATATACAATAACGCTCGAAGAAACAACTAACAGGAAAGTGACAAGTTCTTTGTCTCACGCGTTGTGCGGAAAAGTCTGAAGTCACGGTCTTATCGCACAAGGAGACATTCTTGCTAAAGAATTATTTGTCGTTTCCGTCATCTGCCATGATATGGCATTTGTTTGACGCTTTACTTAAAAGTTAACACTCACTCGGTCACTTTGATAATGTGAAGAAAGTGTTCGACTATGCGAGGAACTGAAAGAAAAGAGATGAACTTGTGACTACATTACAGGTCGAAATAATCTTTGGGCTCTAAAACAGTTCTATAGCTCTAACCACGACTACGCGCAATCTACTAGGAATGGGCGAGTTGTTCTCCTCCTGCAAAGGTATGTGTTTACGAGGGCGCCCTGAACCACGCTAAAGTTTCAACTCTTTCCACATGATTGGTGTTTCTTAGGAAATGGGTTTTACTACTTCCCAATGGATGCCGAAGAGTTACATTAGTTGCTAATTTGTTGTGTTGCTCGCTTGACAAAAGAGGCCACAGTCCATCGAAATAGCAGAAAGAGACAATCGAAAAAAAGCTATTTATAGATCGACATCCTCAATTCTATTAACTTCCATTGCAGCGCAAACATGGCGTCGAGCCACTCTGTCGGCAATGTCTGCATAATCTTGACTACAATCTGATCCTTTACACTTCCGACAGAGTAGACTGCCCGGGGGTGAGACTCTTCGATTGACAGCGCCATTGTGTTGATGACGGCGTCAATCTTCTTACTGAGTGTCATATTCAGGGCCCAATCTAGTGATACCGTAAAAACAGAGTAGTCGTGGGCGCTGAAACTGCTGAGGGCTTCTTGAGGAACGTTCTTCAGGTCGGCCTTCATCCGTTCCAGGAGTACGCTAGGGTCGTTCAGCGCGGTGCTGCAAGAACAGTAGACAAGAAGAAAAGGGGAAAAAAAAGAGCGGATCGTTTAGGTTTGTTAATGTACTATTTTCAATACTCCGTCAGGCAACCATAACGACCACCATTTATTGGGCAGGAAGCGTGATTCCTATCCGTGCCCTCCCCGAACGGAAAGGCAGTACTTCTCTCCGACAGGAGGAAAGACGACTTCACGTTGCACGCTAACACAGCCCTTGCGTCCAATACAGGCTCAAAGTGCAAGAATAAAACTATGACGGACTCGAAGAATCGGCGCAGCAAGTGGTAGATTGCGCTCATTGTTGAAAAATCTATTTGAAAAATGTATCACAGATGGTCTTTGTTTCGTGTTACTGTCCAGTATATTATCATGTGTGATTATGTGCCACACAATCATTAATACAAGCCCCGCAAAAACAAGGTCGATTATGATGCAATTAAAGTCAAAGGTGCGAGCGAGCGCGCCTGGTCCTGGTTTGGAGATTTGTGTTTGTCCTTTGTCGCCCTTGTTCCCCTTCTCCAGTAATTATTTTTGTCAAAAGTTGATTGTGTTCTTCGGCTTCCGATGTAATGCGATAAAAAAGAGAAAAAACAGCAAGACATACGAAATAATGCATCTTCTTTTAGAAATATTCAGTACCTTGCTTAGAGCATTGGACGGCGGTCGAAACTCTCCTTACAATCGCATCTGTGCTTTCCGCGGTGTATGGGAATTTTAGACAGAGGCTGTGATTGAACCCATGAATGGCTCTGTTCGAGCAGTCTTCAGTACGCTTGCTCTCTTAAAATTGTGTCTCTTCGCTCGCAAGTTGCGGTAGTTCACACAAAAGGTAGGTTATTGGCGTGATATATGTCGTGATTTAGGATTTTTTTAGAATAGTATATCTGCCTCTTTAGTGGAACTCGGCTTCATAAAGCAATCACAACACTGATATTAATGGGGAATTAAAAAAAAATAGCAAGAGGTGAAATCAGATTCTCTTACAGTAGTTACATTGGCGTAGCTTCCCATTAAGAACTTTATGGGAAGCTTTACAATTTGCAAGAAAAATTAACCATTTCAGCTCGCTACCACCGTTGCTTGGCAAATTTTATTCGCTTTTATCATTAAACTGATGTTGGCTAGACAGGTCACATAATGTATGAGGAATAAGCAGTACTATATATATTCGTTAGCTTTTGTGAAAGTAGGTTTTCTCCTTTTGCCTAAGGCGGGTGAGGGCGAGCGCGAACTGAATGATTATTCAAGGAACATGATTTTCACACTGAGTTCGGGAGAAAAGAAGCTGGTCCAAAATCCCCATAGAATTGAAACTTTTCGCCGAGAAAGGCGCTTTGGTAAAAGCGCGTTCCCAAAATGCCCCTGGAGTATCTTTAAAGAGCCAATTGGCTCATCAGCTCTAGAGTCTAGTATGTGTTCTGGCGTATTTTGTACAGCTTGCTGGGCTGCATATTCACACCCAGCTACAGATGGTGTAATTATGAAAGAAATCGCACTTGCACCTGACGTCACTCCCGGTCACGTTACCAACCAGCGTGCTCAAAAACTACAAAATACAAAGCCACAATCTAAAAAAAGCCCGTGCGTCTGCTTTCCCGCCCAACACTCGGAAAACCAATCACCGCAATTTACGGAGGCATCTCAGCGAATGACGATGCCGAAACATATGTTTAGACCAAAAAACGCAGTCTGCGTTGTGACATTAAGCAATGCAAGCGTGACGTTTTGCGCTGCTTAATGTCAAACTCAGACTGCGTTTTTTTGGTCTAAACATATGTTTCGGCATCCTCACTCGCTCAGTCGCTTCCTTAAATTGCGGTGATTGGCTCTCCGAGTGCTGTGCGGGAAAGCAGGCGCACGGGCTTTTTTTAGAGTGCAGCAGGTCTCTGCGTCTGTGCGGGTGGCCCCCTTTTTTATATTCGCATGCAAGTGATAATTATTTAGCTTCCTCTTTTGTGTCGGTAAAGTGAAAAGTTATCAGTCGGCTCAGTTGACGACGGTACTAAAAAAAAAAAAAAAAAATTGGGGAAGTATTTGTGATAATAACACCAGCTTATTTTATTTTCCCTCTTCAGAGCCAACCCACGCCACCTGCTGGGACCAGTTGGGCGTTGGCTAGCCGACTTCTGGAGCGCCGGCTCGTCTATGTTCGAACAAAGATATTGCATTCAGAAATATTGGGTGCCTTTCGACTTTCCTTTGTGGTCCCGACCACTTTTCCCTAAGCAGTCGACCACGACATATAAGAGCTCGAAAGATCTGGAGAACGGCTTCCTAGCCAAGAAATGCATAGCGAACATAGAAGAAAACCGGGCGAATGTCTCCGACATTATTTCTGGTGGAGATTTTTGCCGAAGCAGCGTTCCATCATGGTCGTGTGAAAGCACCCTCTTGTTTGCCTGCATTGGCCCATAATACAACTCTGTTTCCGACTCGTGGAGCATAAGCTGGTACTCTATTTTAAATAATGCCAACCTTTATTTTGATTTTAGATGAGCCGGCGCTCGAGAAGTCGACCCGCCAGTGGGCAAAATGGCGTAGGCACCGCTGAGCGGCTTCCATCAAGACTAAACAAAGACCTTAGATTTAAATGTCCGAAATTCTTTCCGGATAGTACATCTTCAGTCCTGTCGTAAAATGACCCATATGCTCACTTCCGAATTATATTACCTCCAAAGATGGTGCCAAGGATAAATCGTTTACGTGCATTAAAAGAGGGAAAATGACGGAAGGTATCGCCTGCACGGCCGTAGACAACTAATTGGCATCGGCTTTCGTTTTTTTTTTTTTTTTTTTTTTTTGTTAAACACCGTTTGACAGCGTGTCGGGAAAAGATGTTAGGTGTAGGAAACCCATAGTGCCAGTAAAACAATGGCCACCATAGTGCCTATATCCATGTTGTTGTCATGCCGTTAACGATGGGCTTGTTGTCCGCCCGCCACTTACCGGTAACCAGCGGGTTCGATGGAGCATACTTGAACGCCGTAGCGTTGGCACTCTCGACGGAGACCCTCAGCCAGTGAGGAGATGGCGTGCTTGCACATGGAGTACACCACTGAGCCGGGACCGGTGAAGTGGGCTGCGTAAAGGTTCAGGTCACTGGCGGTGCTGCATCAAAGACGCGAAGTTCTCGTACGCGCCATTCGATGCATAGAGCATGCACATAGGGCGGTGATGTACATGTGAGACGTTCCTGTTCGCACTATATTACTCATCTAAAAAAATGCACCCTTTGCTAAATTACCCAAGCATGTAAGAAAATGCAGTGAACATAGGTACGCGCGCGGCACGTTCTCCCCCACCCTCTAAAAAGATTCGGAAAGAAAATAACCAAATTAAAACATCCATGGAACGCGCGTGAAAAGTTCGCTTTGTTATGAATTTTCGGGTTTTGAACAGTTAGGGATGATGACGCTGCAGCACTCGCAGCCCTTGTACCTACCATCTCGGCATTATTCTTGATGCTTGAGTAATTTGGCAAATGGTCTATTGTCAGCAGCACCTGCGGCGCTCCTTCTATAGTTTTAAAATCGGGCGAGATATACTCTAAAAGTGATCAGTGAATATCTCAACAATCAATTTGTCTGTTTTGTTTGCATTCACTAAAATGGTTTAGTTCTTAATGATGACTGCCCTCAAAATTAACAATTGAAATGCGACTAAAAAAAAAAGAGTAATACAAATATGTATGAACTAATGTTGGTTTCTATCAATCTCACTATAGCGGTGTCCCGCCATGTTATCTCCATCAACACCAGCTTACAACGAAGACAATGTCTAAAGCAAAGTTCACACCGTTTTCTTAATACAGAATTTGTTTTTGCTGCCGAATTTTCTTGTTTATTAACTAAGAAAATTAAATAAAAATAATACCTTGGCAACGTCCCTTTCAACTTAAGATTAAAGAATTCACCTAAAGTGAATTCCTCGAGATAACCGCCATGCAGAGCCGTCGCGAAGCACCATCACGAAGGATCGTCACGAGAAAATGTCATAATGAACCCTCACGGCAATTACCTCGCCAAATGTGGAGACGAAATTGATCGTCAAGTAATTATGTCACCCAACAAAGTTATAAGACCTCAAAACATTATGTTTTTGGTCCGCCATGCTTGGCGGGAAAATCGATATCGCTTGACGTGACCACATCATGCGACTCCGTCCCGTAGCGTCAATTTCTGTTAGATAGTTCTGCGAAGTGGTAGTTCGCGTTTAACGCATTCTGTGCTCCACGGTCTTAGCGTGAGTAAGCTTGACTCATTTTAAATTTGTATCGGTTAATATTAGATAAAAACATTCGTCCTAGATACCTAATTACTTCAATAGTCGAAAATCATCCCGTCAGATCCTCCCACCGGAACAGTGGCCAGGGTCAAATTTGGCGTAGACTATGAGATTCATAGCATATTTTAGTTATTAGAGTGTAGGTGGGTGACGCAGTTGCTGCCAGAAGTAAATATGCAGCGCTAAGGCAACGCGCGAAAACGAATTCACTTTGAAAGCGCAACGTCACGTTGATTTTTTTTTCGCGCTTGATTGAATGAGTTTTTGTGCATGTCCAATTGAAGAATGAAAGGGCCGTTGCATGGAGAAGTTGGTGATGTTCTTTTTTTTTTCTCCGTCATCTCTCACCGTCGGGTTAAGCGCCGTTCACACTCTTGCGACTGAGTAAGACCGAGAGAGACCAGACCCGTTTTTAAGCCTTTTGCGACTTCGTGGGACCGGATGCGATGCAGCGGAGCTGGTGCTAAGAGATCGCAAGAGGCTTAAAAAACGGTCTGGTCTCTCTAGATCTTACTCGGTCGCAAGAGTATGAACCCGCCTTTAGAGTACAATGCACAGGCGTTACCATATGAGTTCCACGTGTGACAACTGAAGAGCGTTTTCGGCTTTAGCTTTAAAATCAAGCTTCATAAAATCAGAATGAAAGAACGAATATATTATAGCCTGTTGACCCTTCAGAGATACTAAAGATTGAATTCTCTGGAAGAGACCTCAGTCATGTATTGTTAATATGGGCCCAGTTAATTTGGATGCTCACCGTATGGGCTAAAGTTCCAAGGCCAAGTGGTAAATGCATGAAGTACGTTTGTCTCATTATCGGAGAATTCACATTGCGAAGCATTTATGTTTTTGAACTCGAAAAAAAAAAGGGAGCGCGACTTAGTCCCTCCGGGGACCAAACGCGCTGCCACCACCATTAGTCGCCTGGGGGACTAACGGGGAGGGGAGCAAATTTCGCGCCCCTCCCGTTAGTCCCTGAAAGCTGAACCCGTAGGACTAACTTTTGAACCCACTGCGACTAAATGTTGCGCCCTTACCTTATTGATCACTGATTTTCGCCCTTAAAGGGCAACTCCACTCCATTTTTACAATTTTTGGGTTATGATCTCTTTAGTCGAAGCCGGCGACCCTGAATCACGAGATATAATTTGTTTTTCGGTAGTGTGTATAGTTTTGTAGATATCGCGAATGCAAGAATCGGTCCGGTGGCACGGCGAAACCGAAACTACCGGTTGAAGCAGCTTGGCAACACTGATACTAGTGGCGCGTCGTCGGCATGACCTAGTTCTAGTCCCGCGCTTCTGAGCCGACGCGCCGACAAGGTCGGCTCAGTCGCACGTGGAGTTTCAAAACAGAAGGTTAGGTGCACATTTTCTTTTTTTACCGCTTCACTTTGTTGATATGCATCAAATGTAGTAAGTTTTAGTGTGCATTTATAAATTTACCGGCCGAAAAGCAAATCCGACTGCTATAAATATGACGCGGTCGGTGCCGACGCAGCGTGACTGTATTTGTTTCTTGCGCGCGGACCGAGGAAACGAAATGGGAGATAGATGGACAGATCTATCCACAAGTGGTCTAAGTTGTTAAAGCCAAGGTGCCTTTATGTGCACGCTAGTTAGATCAGCCGCGACCTGCTGCGCCCAGCCGATCGTGGTGGAGCAGCCGGCGGACGGTACGCGAACAGCGACGGCACCGCATCGTTCTTCAAAGACGCCTGTTTCGTGGTGAAACCCGCAACAGTCAGCAGCCGCAGATCCCGTGTGTAGGTGTCAGACGTAAAGTGCTGGGAGCAGAGCTTCGCGTTGGAGCTCGGAGTCAACGGTCTTCCGAAGTCTATCCGGCGAACGGCACCGACCCACACCTTGTGCCTCTTCCGGTCTCTTGGGAACTGGTGGAACCGCAGCTCCGGGTTGCGCACCCGGTTTTGGTGCAACCCACAGCACTACAAATCCTGCTCGACATTGCCCAACGCGAGACCGGCAAATCTCTCCGGCTCCACGACGCGCGCGTGAGCGTCGAGCAGCACCGCTTCGCTCTCTTCCGCGCTGTCGCGGAAGCATGCTGGAATTAAAGCAACTGCCTGGACGCGAATAAAAATAGGAGAACACAGGATAATGTGGTAAACACCTCGTGCCGTCAGCAGAATCGCAGAACGCCACGGGAAACGAAGCATTCGCGGCGTCCATACGAGAGCGTAGGACTAGACCTACGTCATTGCCCAGTGTTGCTTCACTAGCTCACCCGGTGCCAGCGTTGCTCACCCGCTTTCGGGCCGCTAACCGAGCCGGGAGAACATTTCTAATATTGGTATTAATCAGTATCGCGGCGTCGGTTTGACGGGATATTTTGGGTATGACCGTATTTTGACCTCCTAAAGCGATATCAGTCATTTCGATAGGGTCGACTTTTTGAGTGGAGTTGCCCTTTAAGTATCCTGGTGGCTCTAGTTAACGTCAAATTAAAAATTGCTAAAAAATATGTTATCGCCGTGGGAGGTATTTTTCAAGCTCATTACATTCACATATGAAGAGCGCTTATTTTACATTTGCACACGTATTATAGGGTGATTTCAGATAAGATCGACCAAAGGATGGCTAGTCGACATTTTCAAATCAACTGATGTTTTTATATGTTATTGTCTAGTGTCTGGTATGAACGAATCCAAACTTAGTTTTGACTAGAAAAAATACGGGGGGACAGGAAAAATCGTAAGGCATGAGGTGGTGGACAGTTGCATTAACGCTCACTGATGGAGGGGGCCCGTTTGAGAGTGAATAACTAAAACGATAACATTAGGAGAACTCTAATACGTTTTAGGCGCAAACTATGGGTATAGCTTGCTTGTAATATAAAGTAATCATATTTATTTAAAATTTATTTATTTTTCTAAAAATTGACGAACGTGCCTGCTCGAACGACAAATGGCAAACTTTGGAGGTCTGTATCCCATGAAATAATTTAATCATTATGATATAATTTGCAGATGTTATTCTACTAATATATAGCTAATATTTAAAAAAAATAACTAAGGTATCTGTGTGATACAATAGTTAGGATATATTTAGTCAAACATGGAAAAAAAATCAAACAAAGAAAAATTCCGATGCGAATAAAAAAAAAACACCACCCTCGATTTTTTTTAGATTTAGGTAACCTGTTATACTCTATTTCGGCATTCATTTCCATTAAAAACATGTTGCATCATTTTCTTGAGAAAGAAGATAACAACTCCCCAAAGTAGGGTCCTTTTTCAAAGCCTACACTTAGCAGTGTTTTATACAAGAACTGACTTTCCAGTTTCATGAAACCAACACACATCTTTTATATATTTTTATTCAGATGAGGCCAATGATAACTAAAGAAATCGTTCACACACTTAAATTAAGGAAAAAATACTGTGTACAAAGAGGTATCATATTACGGACTAGTGATCCGAGAAAAGATCATGCAGCCATCGGCCACTAGGAACTTTGTTTACTTTATTCTCCTGCGACACTATATGCTATTTCCTCTTCCGCTTTACCTTCATCTCTCTCTCTCTCTCTCATATATATCCCTGATATATATCCAGAAAAAAAACATGTTCAAGCATTCCCTTTCTGCGTGGTAGTGTTCTGTGGCTAGCAAAAATCATTTCCTCGCTAAGCTCACGATTATGGCAAAATAGTTACCGGAAACCGCAGACGACACTCGTCGCTAGTTCTGGCAAAACGGCCGATACAATCTTTTTTTCGCATTTCCCCGCTCGCTGTCAAGGACAAGGGGGTTCGCTTCAACCAGCAAAACATGGCC